CATCCATACCTCAATTTGCGATGTTGCGAGTATTTTACTGCTTCCTTAATGTGGGTAAAAGGCGACATGATTACTTTAAAGCCGGCCGTGAATTTTCCGAGATATGATGGAAAATATTACTTATTATATTTTTTTTTCAAGTCTATTTGTATGCTTCCTTTGAAAACGGAAAATAAATATGACTACCAACTTTTGAAATTTTATAGCCGGTTATGATTTTTCGTTTTGTTAAGCTTGTTCAGTTATTTCCAAAAAGTTGCGTTTGATTGAAATGTATAAAGTGCGCTTATTCTTTGAAATTTCTAGGATTTTCGGAATCATATTAACCTAGGAAAAACAGATTTAAAGTTGCGTATTTCCAGCTCTCATTCGAACGCTCATCGCCGAGAAAGCTAAGATGACGTCCGAAAACATAACTCTCCTTGCGGTCACAATTTCGATCGCTTTTTGCCCGGCTTGCTGCGATTTTTACTTTGTGCAGCCTTGCATTGATAACAACCAAGCGGAACATGAATCGTTGCAAAGGCAACACGCAACGGAATCGTGCTTGCGAGGAGAGGGATATTTTTAGACGTCATCTTGGCTTTCTCGGCAATGCGCGGTATTTAATGCGAGCTGAAAATACGCAATTTTGAACTCGTTTTTCATTGTGTAAAGTTGGGGAAAATTCCTGTGGGAGCGTCTATGAATTACGTAACGCAATTTTCTGGCCTTTTTAGTTCCTCTTACCACTTGTAATGCTCCGTAACACAACCCTGGACCCCCCTTAATAATTACACAACGCTCTGTGGAACCTCCCCCCCCTTACGAATACCCCCATAAATTGTGCGAATTTGTTGAAAATATAGCTGAATAAAATTAGTGATAGTAAAATGACAAATAACGTTGAAGAATATCGATGATAAATTTTGGATTTTGTGCGCTCTTTACCAATTGAGAGGGTTGCGTTACGTTAGCACTGACCCCTCTCACTCTTTGTAACGAAGTGTAACACAGGCTCATACATCCTCCCCTTCTTGATTATTACGTTATTTCGTCGCCTCCTTGACACAAGAGCGTATCTCAATTTCCACGTGAACCCTGTTTTACGTATAAATCAATGCTTTTTAGGGCTCATGCGGAAATCGAAATACGCCCTTTTTTTAGAGAAGCCCCCGATTATGAAGCGATTTTTGAAAACCCCCTGAACTGAGTGCACTCTCCTTTTTTAAAAAACGTAACAATTGACAATTACTGTTAAAAATTTTTAGGAGCAGCCCGAGACAATGATAACAGTGGAAAAACAAGGGGAGAAAACGGGAAACACGGCTAAAATACACAATTAATCAAACTCGAGACGTTTCGACTCGAAACTGAGTCATTTTCAGTCGGAAATACAATAAAAATTTAAAGATTAAAAAAAACGATGAAAACTTGAACCAGCTACATGGTGGTGGCCGGGATCTGAGAAAAAGAGAGAGAAAAACAATTTTTTTTTTTAAAAAAAAATTTGTTTGTTATTTTTTAAAAATTTTTCTTGTGTTTCCGACTGAAAACGACTCAGTTTTGAGTCGAACCGTCTCGGATTCTATTAATTGTGTATTTTAGCCTTGTTTCCCGTTTTCCCCCTTGTTTTTCAACTGAAAATTACAGGACAAGCTTATTATCGTAGAATACCCCCGTGCATATTTACAGTTCGGTAGCATTGCGTCATGCTTGCACCCCACAACGTCTTAACAAAATCTGCTCTCGCCTTACTTGAATATATTTCACGTGAAAACTCAAAGGAAGGCTTGACGGGTTCTTTGGTAACTAGGCCGGAATGAAGAGGGAGAAGGGGGCGAAGCGGAGCTTAGTAAAGCTCCAAATGAAAAGCTCACTCAGAGCGGGGGGACGGTTTGTTGTGGTGGTTTCTGACTGTTAACAAGACAGGACGTGATCGCGTTAAAGGAGCCTTCAATGCTTTCTAAGTTGAATTTCTATACTTCTCAGCTCGTAAATTTGCCGACAGGATTAAAGGAGCTTTTAATTCCGGGAATTCTACATGCAATGTATAACTTTTTTTTAACGAGGAGCTATTCAGCAAATTTGCGACTCGGTAAACTCCGGGTGTTGGTAATTTTGCCGAAGTTTGCTAAAAAATTCAGTCTAAGACTGAGATATCATTATAGAGAGAAAAATCTCACGTATACGGGCACAAATTTTTCCACAACTTTTTTTTAATGAGGAGCTATTTAGCAAATTTGCGACTCGGTAAACTCCGAGTTTTGGTAATTTTGCTCAAGTTTGCTCAAAAATTCAGTCGAAGACTGAGATGTAATTATAGAGAGAAAAAGCTCACCTATAAGGGCACAAATTTTCTCTGATGAGAGTTCTGCTGTTTGGTGCAACACTAACTACGACCAGTCAGGAAGGCAACTGCATATGCGTAAGACCCGGAACACATCTGCTTCTGCAGTTGCAGTGTTGCACCAAACAATAACAATAACAATAACTCTCAAAAGAGGAGATTTGGCCCCGGATGGACGAGCCGTTTATCTCTATAATGAAATCTCAGTCTTAGACTGAATGTTTGAGTGCGCATTAGCAAAATTACAAGCAATCGAGGCGACTAGTGGGCCGCCGAATTTCCGGCTGTCGGTAAACTCCGGTATAAATTGGATCGCATTCAGCAAAATGAAACCAGCGCGATTACAGTGTTATAAAAATGTTGCTTCTTCATTATTATTGAAATTGTTTCTCACAATAGCAAACACTTTAGGCTTCCCACCAAAAATTGTTAATTTTAAAGGGAGATAGTCGTATACATTGTCATACTGTACATATATTAAGTATTTTTAAAAGAAAAGGAGGAGTTGGGCGATTCTGAAAACACTGTAATCGCGCTGGTTCCCTCTTGCGAAATGCGATCAAATTTGTAATGCATTAATTTTTATTCGAGAACGTACTCTGCATTTGTGAATATCTCATTGATCCTCACGATAAAACTGAATTTCATTCTCAAGAGTCAGAGCGTGCATAAAAACGAGAGGGTTGAAATTATGAGTCTAAGGAAACGGACTAGTTTAATTAAACATGCAATGATGAGGAGGGGGGAGGGTCAAATGTAGCGGATCACAGTAGAAGAGGGAGTTGCACTGCGAACGAAGAGGGCGGGGGAGAGGGGGCGAGGCAGTGGAGCGGGTCAAAATGATGAGAAAGCGCCGTGAATTATGCGCTCGTGATATATTCAGTGCTTCGTTCCTATCGTTACTGTTCCTCGGTTTCCAGTCAAAATCGAGCTTTATGCAGGCCGATGCTTCGACGGTGTCAAATTGTCTCGGAAAATCGTACGCGCATGTAGCCATAAGGGAAAGTTAAAGGGGTGGAATTTGGTCACTGGAGGGTTAACTTCTGATTGACTTAAACGTCTAAGACTTGATGGAGCTTCGAGAGATTGAAAAATGGCCGGAATTGCATACAGATTGTTCAAAAGGACAGAATGAGCCTCTATTTCCTTGTGGGTACCACGTGTCTGTGTCACACAGTTCCTACGTGATGAATTATATTCTTTTAGTGCATTACTGTTGAAAAAATATTTTCAATCTAAGTTGCTATCACGGTGAACACGGTGTCATGCATCAACTGCAGCAGGTGATGATCCCTTTCAGATTTGCCGACATTTTTCTGGTTCCTAAAAGTCTCTGTAGGAGTCTGTGTCCATGCTTTCTTTTAAGGGGTACTGGGTACCTACTGTACTTTAAAAACTACTAATCTCAAAACTGAACACCTTATTTGAATTTTTTGTTTGATACGGTTAGAACACAAGTTATTTTACGGGTATGCCCATTTGCACTATTTTTTCTTTCGCGTTTATTAGTATGCTGGATCAAATTTTCTTTTGAAATGAAACGAAACTTTCATGTTTTAGCGTCGAAATCGATGGTTACTCCAATCCATAGTGTGTATATGTGTCTTAGAAGGCATTTCTACGGTTATCGTAGTCTCATCCCTCAGAAGTGTCGAGAAATTCAACTGGGTACGGAAGTCTTTATGCACGGAACAAAATAACACTCATACCGACATAGCGTCTAGGTGTCAAAATGTTGTCTGGTGAGAAGCATGGTCCAGCTTGACAGTCACAATTAGACTTTTACATCTCGAGATCATGCAAAAATAAGTTCTGTCAAATAAAATGTGTAATTAATGATGAGAGTATACAGCTAAATTAGCACCATAGACACACACACACACGTAACCCAGGCAATGCAAAAAAACCACGCTCGTAAAAAAAGAAGAAAAATCTTTCTTTGATTGATTGTTTTCTTCGGGAACTTATTAGCCAGTTCATAGGTCTCCCAGGACTAGGTATCCAACTTTGTCGTTTCCTCTTCTGTAATTTCAGTTTTGCAAAAGAGAATAGGTGAACATTCACTTCATCAGAGTAACTAAAAATATCTTAAAATAGTAAGCATTTGTCCCAAATCACTCTGAACGCACATCATCATATTGTAAAACCTCATCATTTGGTGCTACTGAAATAAAAACGTTTAAAATCGCCTCGATACAAAATACATTTGTGTACTTTATGTGGACGAAAGTTACAAAAAAATAGGTAAAAATGCATTTTCACGTGTTTATCTATCAGATACCAATGCTCCTTCCTACTTCACCACACTTTCAGTGCGTTGTAGTAGAGCAAAGTCATTCAGTTCGTGGCATGCCTTATCCGTATACCATGAGAAAAAGCACGGTTCGGCAACGACGATCAGAATGACGCAAAGCCCGCGGAAAGGGCCCGAGTTTGCACATAGAACGTAAGCTTCTCTGATCTGTGCCGCTATCTGACAGCACCGGGCAGGAACTACGTTCACTTTGGCGCGAGAGGCGCGGCAAGGTGGTGAGGTGGCAGGCGGGGGCGGGGGGGCTCAGGGGGGTATAGATTTGAGCGCGGGCGCTGCGCCGGGGGCCGCGGCTGGAGCCGGGGGTGTGCACCCCCCTTCCATCTCCCTCCGCCCCGTTCATCTCGCGGCACCCCGTTCTCCCAGTTTCCCGGCATGCTCAGCCGATTTCAGGCTCTTGCACTCGCCACCCTCCGACTCAGTTGGTGTTTTGACAGTGTCCGTGTCTTTTTTGTTTTCTCCGTTTTGGTGTTGTTATTATTTTCCCATTTTTTCTCATCACTCCGTGGACTTGTAACCTACCCGTTTTTGACGGTTTTATAACTTCGCTGGTGCTGTTAGTGTAGTATTTCGTGCGCGCGGCATTCGTTTCCACAAGGTTCGCTTTCGTCATCGTTGGGTCCGCGAATCGAACCGTGTGCGTTTTATTTCCGGTTTTCCACCCACGGGCGGCTTTTTCGCTGGACGATGCTGTGAGGGATGTCACTCTGTTTTCCGTTTGCAGTGACATGTATTAGCATCGCTCGTCGGACGCTACTCGACACTCCGATGTTTACTTTCTTTGACCTACATTCGTCTACTATCACAGGTTCCTCGCCGCAGCTTCCTTAACTTTAACATTTAAATTAATTATCGTGAGTTCGAAACTCTGATTCAACCTTCTCCTTCATCATCTTCTTCAAAAACCACTTTCGATTGAGAGCAAAAAAAGGGCAAATACTTGAAAAGGTAACGAAAAATCAAAACAAACGAAAAAAGGTCAAAAGGGAAATAAAACGAGAGCCCGTGAAAATTTCTGACCCAGTGAATTTGACCGATACTAAGTTTAAGGATTTTACTGGGTTTTTTCCAGCCAGGGAAATATTAATTCACAGCACTAATGCATTCGATAAAAAGGAAACACACTTTGACTTTGATTTACTTTTACGGTTATTTTATCGTGAAATTCATTGGGCAGACCAACTAAAATAATGGCTTGAAATATGGAATCTTATCATCTGATTCCAAGTGCGAATTTTCTGATTAGAATTTTTTGCGATTTTCGCTCGTGTGTGCGCCGTTTCAACGAATCCAACTCGCAAAAATGGTGATTTTTTCTTTACTAGCTGTACGGATGTAGATGAATTTTATCGCTGAAAATTTACACAACAGCAATTTAGTTTTTCATGTAATACTCATTTTTCAAGAAAAGCGTATGAATTTTGCATATATAATGAGGAAAATTGCTCAGAAATAATTTTATTAAAAAAAAGAATGATACATATTTTGGTGGAGACGCGGTCCATCCTGAATTATTTTTTGAGAGTTTTGGTACTGAAGAGCGCTACAATCAGTTAGTATACTTATAGAAGATACCGAATCGCTATAAAGAAATTACATCACGAGCATAAATTCATAACATTTATTACATTCATCTAAAACATTGGTTCTGAGGGATGATAGATTTTCAACTTATCAGCTTCCCCCTCAAAACGATAGGTTGCCTGAGGTAACATCCAGTATTTACGATTAAATTATAAAGCATCATCATTCTATTCCTCGAGAGACCGTTGACTTCTTAGAGAAGAGGCTGAGAGAAGAGGGATTCGACCCTACACAAGGAGGTAAGAACAAAGAAGAAAAGAAAATTCACGAGTCATAGTATAAATATCCCTGAAAATTTCAACGTAATGAACACATTTTAGCTGTAAAATTAAAAATCAAAAATGTTATGAGACATTGATGAGAATAAGATCAAACCGCAGCAAAGCATAAAGAATGGTCCAGGGATGTTCACCTTATAGAAGGAGATTATTCATACGGCATCAAGCTACTGAATTCTTCCTCACATATCAACGGTGAAATTACGAGACCACGTATCTCGGTTCGCGACCTTTGAGACATCCTGCCATACTTCATTTTTTAACTGGGAAACTACTCAACGTCAATCCTTGTAAACTTTCGTGATTTGTCTTCTCTGTGCGAAGAAAACTCTGTGAAAATCTCAAGGAATGATATTGACTTATTCTTTTCTAAAAAAATAAAGTGGGGGCGGAGATTTTTGGACACCGCAATTTTACGAGATACGTGGTTCAGGAGTTTCATCGTCGATATATCCATAATTGGACGTATTTCTGCCAAACGGAACTATGTGGATTAAGGCATGAGCCCTGAGACCCACAAGAATATGTTCATAACAGGGCTCACGTCATAATGCGCACAGTTCAATTTGATAGAAATACGTCAAATTGCATGAATTACTTTAAGTATTATACTGCGTTTGTTCTCCTCAATAAAGATATACATGCTGTGAAAATTTTTGGATGATCAGTTAATATCGGCACTGATGTTTTAAATAATAGGAAATAATTACCAAAGACAGAAGCCATGGCTATGTCCAAGTAATTCTAAAAATAGGAAACGAGTAACTTGCCAAGTAATTGGACGTATCGTTGCTGAAAGGAGCTTAGTGAACATGAATTAACCAAGAAACTTTTGAGAAAGGGTTCGCGTGCTACATACAGCACCTTTTGATTTTAATTATTTGCGCGTAGTTATTTTTAGAATAGATATCTACGTCCCATACGTTGATAAACTGCTTTGGGTGGCGCAGCAGATCGAAACGTGATTTGAGTGCTGCCGTGCTAAGGAAAAACGTCGCATGAGCTTTCAGACGTTCTCAAGTTTCCTTCGATAAAACCCGACTCTATGAGGAAAATTGTGAGTATTTTTCCCCAAAATTTGCAGACAATTTTGCACGCAATTTGGTCTAAAATATCTGAAAATTTCAAGGAAAAATATGAATGAATGTCGTCATAAATACATGTTTTATCAAGGGAAATTTGGCAAGTCTCGAATGTTCATACGGCGTTGTTCCTTAGCACGGCAGAGTGGGCTCATGTTAGTAGGAAACACGCTGGTCAAAAGACTGAGTTATCAACATTGTTGAGTCTCAGTCTCAGTACGATTATTAAAACTCCGTAGTAGAGAGGCGATTGCGGAAAATTTAATAACGACGATGCGGTCAGAAATGGCAGTTATCATCCCTCCTAGCACAGAGCAAGCGAGGCTTCGATACTTCGGAACAGGGTAGACCAAGAAAATAATGCCATTGGCGTAGTTATGGCATAGAGGAAGTTCGATCAGAATGAACAAGATGCAGCATAGGAATTCAAAAGCAGCAGCAGCAGAGATAACCAAGAAAGATTTTAAAGAAAGAGGGAGAAAAAAAATTGCCACCACAACTCCCCACAGTTGCCGTTCGGTTAAAAGTTTGCTGTTCCAGCCTTTTTAATGGATAGAGTCAACACTGAATTATAAAAGTAACTGCAGATGGAGAAATAAACTCTGAAAATATTTATCTAAAAATGATACGTTGCAAATTCCCCCCCCCCCCACAATTTATTCTTTAAAAGAAAAGCAACCCTTTAAGTTTTTCTTTAGACTCTTTCTTTCCTTGAATTTTTTTTTTAATTTCTTTTTACCCTATCAAGATTATTCTTTGAAAATGGCAGACTGTGTTATTTCTTGGTTTTTATCCAAAAATCAGTTAAATTTTCAACCGGAAATGCTGAACTGCGTTTTAATAAAAATACAAGATGCGAATACGCGTAACCAGAATTTTTTCTGCTGGTTTAATGGCTTCGTGTCTAGCACCTTCAGCCAACTTCAGACAATGTTTAATGTCCGTAGACATCGTAGGATCTCCATAATTCAGGCTTTTCCAATTTTCAGGGATTAGGGCCGAGGAGAATATGTTTCAGCAGATCTAGGTACTCGTCAATTCCGTGAAAATTAGACGCCACCACCGGGATTCGAACCCGGGACCTATTGACCTAGAGTCAGACGCGCTGACCACCAGGCCAACCTGGCCGGCAACATTTATTTGACGAAGACTCTTTTTTACCGGAGGGGGGGGGGG